ATCAACCATCGCATACTTCTTTTCGATATCGCAGTATTAGCAGTAACTCTTTAATCTGCAGAACTTTTAAAAATTTAGATCTTAAAAAGACAAACGCTGCATTTATATCTTTGAACTTTCTGTCTGGAGAATCTTCGTCTAGTCATCATCTTGTAATTTGATATAAGGAACAATTACAGCTACTTAAGCACGAAATATTAATTTTTTTATTCCAGATAAAGTTCGGTTGATAAATAATTTCGATAGATAAAGTTTATTTAATGATAACGTCATCCATTTATATTTTGATTCATTTATCCTATGTTAAAGTTTTATTATGGTTAAGTTCAGTAGCAGAACAAAGAAGAAAATTTCAACAATTATTTTTTAGAGTAAATGGAGGATGTATAGTTGGGACTTGGCAAAAGAAATATTTCTCGTAAATTAGTATTAATGGAAAACTGTACGTAATACTACAGGCAAGAAACTGCATTTTTGCCATTTATGCATTCATAAGAATTTAAAAAGATTAATGATATGAAATGTATTTTTAAGGGAGGAAAAAGTACGGAAAAAAGTAAATAAATAAAAAAAAACTTTAAAATTTTTCAGTAATCCCAAGATTTACTGTTTATTCACGGTTTTCTCATAAACTATAACCATAGAAATTACAGTCTTTCGACCACTTTGTACTAACAACGAATAGTATTCCTGTTCAAAATTCTGTCCTGCATGTATTTGTCTCTCACTCAGTACATTAATTTTTTACGCAGAAGTAGATTTTCAGAATTTTCACTCCAGAGAGTGCTATAGTTTCTAAGTAAGGTATTTAAAATCCGAGTACTCAATATTGAACTTGGACGAATCTTTTTTGAGTTACTCGAACTCGATACTCGCTCTGAGACTTGACGAATTCACGTTTCATTTTTACAGTGCTTCTAGCAGGTTTGACTGGGCTGCGATTTCTCGAATAATTCGTAATCGAATTAGAAAGTAGTTAATGATTGTCTCCTCGTCGATCCACTACCGTACATATTTACTTGAACATTTCATTAGTTATAATAATTAACATCTCTTCAAATACTAACATTTAAAATAAAGCAATGTAATTTTTTTAATCAGGTGAGTAATAGAATTTACATCGAAATTCCCTGCTATCTTATCGAACTGATTTTTTATTATTGAAAGATTATATTGCTTAAACTAGGAATCTTGGCTTAGTAAGAAATTAATTTGTAATTAACATCATAATAAAAATCAAGTCATTAATGAGAATGCTAGTTAAAATGTACACCAAATAACAATATAAATATAATTATAAAAAATACAGAAAACACAAAACCCCCTTTTTTTTGCCTTTAGAAATAAATTTTACTGAATTAAAATAAAAGCTCATGCTATTTGCTAAGCACTCTGAACTAACTTCTGAAAAATTACATTTGCTTCATTAATAATTAAACGGACATCAGCAACTGCTAAAGAGTATTTTTCGTTTCTCTTAAATGTTTCATTAAGTTGCATTCTTTCTGCATATTTAATGGGAATACAAGCTAGTTTTCCTTAAAAATTCTTCAAAAATGAATCTCTCTTCTTAGATAACCTTCCTTTTTCTGTAATCTATTAAACAGCTTTCTAAATTACCTGAAATATCATTAAATGCTTTGTTCTTTTTAATATTTATTTCATAAGAAAATTAAAACGTTAATTTATTCTCTTTCTTGTTAATTAATTAAAAATGTTTAGTGAGGTAAAATACTTTTTGCTTTTTACAATTAATATACTTATTTAATTAGGTTTATGTTCTTAAATCGTATTTCTATTAGAAATTTGATGTTTTTATATTTTATATGTATAAACATATTACTCTATATAAAATTATTTTACTGACACACATAGTATCAATTTGCTACTAAATCAATAAACGTGTGATAGTTGTTCTTAAGTTTTATGAATAGTTAGCTTTTAAGTTAAAACATATTCTACCTTTCGTGGCTTTTTTGGCCTATCTTTTTTCAAGCAATTCCAATTCCAATTGCTTTCGCTTGCACTTGGTTTCAACTACAGAGTTATTACCAAAAGTTCAGAGTTGCCAAAGGCCAATCACGGTAGTAAAATAAAAGAGATGTACTTTAGGTACATCTGTCACCTGGAGGCGTAAAAACTTTCAGAGCTTGGGACTGGCATTCCTGCTCGTGGTGGCAAAAGTTGCATTCAAAAAATAACAAAATTCATAATTATAAAACATAGAAAAACGCTGAAAACTATTTACATAAATACAACTACCAAGACGGGTTGTGATGTATGGTGCGGTGTCTTTTGACCACATATTCAACAGTAGGGTCATAGTCGCACAGGCTTTTATAGAAGCGTGGGAAGAGGTTCCAAGGCTTTCAAAGAAATTATGTGAAGTGATCAAAATTTGTTCATGCATGGCCTTCACATTCAGATCCTCCTGAATTTGAGAGTACCTCACAAACCACGGTGAGTTCACAATCGCTCTAAGTATTTTATTTTGTATTATGTCTAGTTTAGCACGCTCAGTCTTGTTGGCTGTCGCCCATGCTGGCACTGCGTATAACATAATCGGTCTGATTAAGGACAGATACAGTGTTCTTTTGATTTTTATCGATAAATTAGACTTCCTTCCTGCCAATCAAGCTGTAAAGGGCACAGAACGCAGCATTCGCTTTTTCCGCTACGGCTGTAACATGGTATTTAAAGGTAAGCTTGCTATCTATAATAACTCCTAAATACTTATAGGAGTCAGCCATCGGAACTGTATCGTTTTTAATTTTGATATCCGTATTAACAATTACATTCTGCCTGCAGCGTCTGTAAAGCACAACACAGCATTTACTAGAATTTAAATTGATTTTCCAATCCTCGCACCATTTCGTAACGATATTTACTTTGAATTACAGTTTTTCCATTGCAAGAGGCGGGCTGACTTTTCAAGCAATGGGAAGCGCCTGTGTTTATATATAGGCAACTGACGCCCTCATAAGATACAACCAAGGACCAATCAAATATCGAAAAAGCCGTAAACAATTGCTCAACCTGCTTGCACTTTCCAACTTGAATCAGATTCCAGCAATATTATAATTGCAACTGACTCAGCAGTATCGGCTAATTTTAAATTTTCTGTTTTTAAATTTTCTGAAGTGTTTTTCGAGGGAAATTTTACGATTGCTCCAGAAATAGAGGTTTGTAACAAGAACTTTAGGTTATGACTGAGCAATTAGAGCAATAAATACTTTTAAGAATTATTTGAACAAAATCATATTTCATTAACCTATCTGAATATATCCAAAAGAATAAATGTATAACCTTCCTTTCCTTAAACCCTTTAATTTTACGTCTTTAGCTAAATCAGATTTAATAAACGACTTTTCTGACCTACCATCAGTTAGAATTTTTACTGACTTCTAGTATTATCTTTATCTGAAGCGTAAAAAGTGCAAGTTTGTAAATAAACACCTTTATCAACAGTTTCAGAAACTTTCTTAGAGTGTGATGATAGGGACACAGTTAACATTCTGCTTAGAATCTGATGATGCAACTACATTCTGCTTAGTACCTGAAAGTCTTTTAGATTCAGGAACAATATTCTCGCAAAATAACTTATTATGATTTAAACCATTACATAACTCATAGGGTTGAGTTGAGTTGAGTTGAGAGCAGAATCTGGACACCCGTGCGGCTTACTAAGACTATTCGGGTCTAATCGAGGTTCCGCAACTATCCGGGGCAACACCTCATGGGGCCTATAAGGGCATACATTGGTCCTGTATGCATGCTTACATAGTTCATAACATATGCTTATAGTTACATAGTTCATAATATATGCTTACATAGTTACATAGTTCATAGTACATGCTTATATACAAGTAGTTCATAATACATAGATCTTTCATAATACTTGCTGACATAGTTCATACATATACATGCTTACATAGTTCATAGTTGATTACATAGTTCATACTTGCTTACATAGTTCATAATATATTGAGCCTGTTACATAATACATACATAGTGGCCGTAATACATACATGTTTCATAATATATACAATAATAAAAAATAAAAAAATTAAAAAAAGAAGGTAGAAGAGAGAGAGAGAGAAGAGAGATTGGGAGGGAACTATTCCACACTGCACAAATATGTTCCTAATTCCTCCAGTTTCTGCATTATCTTGCATATTTTGATGCGAAATGCTGGCTGTTTGATCAGATAACGCTTATGAGAAGTTGCCTGTTCCGTAAGCTGCACATGCCACTGTGCGGTTAGAGGACATTGGGTCAAGTAATGGTCTGGTTTACGAATGCCTCCATAGACACAACTTTCGGTATTTGCAATTCCTCTCTCATAGTAATAGGAGGGGAAAGGCCCGTGCCCCGTCACAAATCTCGTTATTTGTGGCGATGACTCGAGACGATCGAGCGAAACTTTATGGTAATATTCATAGGTCTTGCTGCTTTGTTCGGTAGAGTCCCATTTCCATTGCCACTGGTGCTGAGCTGCTGTCCTTGTTACTTTTTTACTTCAACTCACAGGGTTGAAGTTTTATTTTCCATCTAGACCAGAGTTGGGGAACCTTTTTACCATGAAAGGCCACATTTAAATTAGGCAGTGATAAAGGAGGCCGCATAAGTTGATGTATACCTATAAATAAGACTTTTGTAAAATTATTAGTTTTATCCCTTTACTGCATTATGTAGAAATAATGAAAAAAAAAAAAAAAAAAGAAAGCATCAAGTCTTCTATTAAAGTAAGAATTTACAATATCAAATATTTTTGTATTCACATAAGGCTAATAACTTATTCTTGAATTAATCTTTAATATTTTTAACAAACAACTACATACTATATCTAAATACGGTTTCAAATAAAAATAATGAAGTAGAAGTATTTTGCAATAAGTTTATCACGTTATAAAGAAAAACCACAGAAAAGTAATAATATTAAGTTATAAAAAATAGCAACGGTATGTAAAATCATGTTAAGATTCGATGGGAAATTTAATTTAGTGGGATATTTGCATTTGTTTCTTGCCTGAAAGTAATTGAATATTTGGATCAAGCTTCGTAATGCGTAGCTTTAGTAGATCCTCTAAAAAATGAGCACCTGTAATTTGTGTTCCTAAACTAGTTTTACTTTTTGTCATGAGAGAAAATGTTGACTTGCAGCAGTAAGTACTTCCAAAACATGAAAGTAAACCACGAGAATACTCTCCTAGGCATGGATATTCAACAGCATTTTGCCAGATTTCTATCGGATCCTTTTTAGCATCAAAAAGATATTTGAGGATACTATTTTCCCGCAACTCAAATAACTCCATTAGCAGTTCCCTAGGAGCTTTGGATATATCTACTAAATGTGGTTCAAATGCCAGTTTCATAGCAGAAGTGTGTTCATGAAAATCTGAAAATCTTTCATTATATTCTCTATTAAAAAAACCCAAGACACCTACATATTCATTGAATGCTTTATTTTTACATTTTTGCTTATTCAACATTTTTGCTAGCTCAGGGAAGTATTCTGCAGATGCATCCGAGCAAGAGAGCAATGTTTTGAAAACTGTTATTAAAATGTTTCGAAACGCTTGGATCTTTTGCCACATCTCTACATATAATGAAAGAAAGAGTCTGTCTGTAGACCCAGGTATTAGCAAGCTACGAAATTTGATACATAGGTTGCATCTAGATATGCTTATCATATGATATCGCATATGATATGATGTATCTGCATCTGATATTATATGATATATCTGCATATGATATTATATGCTTACAATACTATAATATATGACTAAATCTTGATCACATGTTAACGGCATTGATAACATTCCCAAGATTCGATTGGATTATAAATGTAAATATCAGTGTAAAAATGTGTAAAAGAATGTGTATTAGTTATTTTTATTGATATTTCGTATCTTGAACGTGAACGTATCGAAACGTGAGTGTTCAACAATCGGCCGAAAGATTTTCACAGAATTGCTACTTGAAACTACGTTGCGAAATTGTTGCGATTCATCTTACTATCGCTTGGTGAATTGTGCAATTTTTCCTCAGTAAAGTTATTACTGTAATTGTAGTACAGAATTATACCAAATGAATGAACCCCTAGCATATAAGTATAAATCTGCACTTGTAAATTGTGTATTGATTAAACATAAAAAACAGATGAGAAAAAAAAAAAAAAAAAAAAAAAAAAAAAAGAAATTACCGAGTTTTAGTGCATTGCCAAAAAGATGGCGCTACTGTCTTCGGGGTTTAGAGGGGGAAAAGAGTTCTTTCCTTTTTGTCGTTTATATCCAAGCGCCCACTGCAAGAGGCGGTTCTTTTTTTCGCTATTGGTTATCTCCTTCTTTCAGTGTTAGGTTTCGATGACGATACGGAACTCATCCACCATCTGTTAAAAACAATCGTAAATGATATCGGCAGGTCTAGCGAATTTATCTGAAATATGCTCCATTGGTGTTGGGTCAGCTGAAAAAGATTCGAAGACTTGGCATTAAACAGTTTGCTTCCCATGTCAGCAGAATTTACTCTGTGCGGCTTCTACATTTGAGATTATATTTATAATATTGTTAGGTTTTTCCTTTTCTTTTGTTAGGTTTTTCCTTTTCTTCTGACATCAGTTGTTGCTTATTTTCTTCGTTCACGTTCGTACGGGGTTTGTGGATTTGGAGTGAATAACGACGACACTTGATGAAGTATCGAAACACACTTTATTTAGCCAATGTTAATCAGGACAGCTCTAATAACACTTTTTAAAGTCGTCGGAGATCTACTATAAACACGTTGGAACAATCAGTGACACAGCCTTCACACTCTAAGGCAATAACGGTGGAGACAGCTTCACTGCAAAGCACCCGAGTATAGCTCCCGACTCTGCTCGGTCGTTCTCGGAACTTTACGTACTCTCGAGGCTCTCCACGCTACAGCTCGCGATGCACTCGATGACACACGAGCACAGCTCCCGACTCTTCGGTTCAGTCGTTCCCTGAGCTCAACATGCTCTCTCGACGATGCACTAACTGCGATACACTAACTGACTCCTTCGGTGCACTCGACGACAAACTCGGCACTCGCTGCCCGGCCTAACTCGCACTCTAGACGAGGCACACACACTCACCCTCTCGATGAAGCACACACTAACTGACTGCGAACCAGCAGGGTTTATATAGCTTTCGGCTTGTGTTCGAGAACATTCTGGGCTAAATAGGTAAGAATTCGTTCCAGAAGGTTCTCCACCCGTTCATGACATATCGCCAATTTTGTCGCCAAATGTGGCAACCCTGCATACCCTTGCCATTTTATGGCAACCCTAAAACTGCTTTGCGGGGAAGCCATCTTACCGCGCCTGTACGTTTCGTAACAATATTATTTCACCTACCGTACCCCACAAACTTTCATAATTCAAAAAACATAACTGATGTGGTAGCACAGAGAATATAGAATTTGTTTATCATTTTAATATCACAATTGATAAAACAAACCATAACATAAAACAAATAAAAATATAAAACACTGTAGACCATATATATACATACATATATATGTATTGCCAGTCACGTAGAATACTGATAAATCAAAATTGGTCACTTCCACTTATAAGGTAATGTAATGTAATGCAATATACGAGTGTGCTGCAACCCCCAACTCCTCATGGTTAACGCAGCACACCCAACACAGACAAATATACGTTCACTTATAAGGTATTTTCTCCCTCCTTCCAGCATGTGTTCTAGGTGTAATGGTAGCACAGCACGTATACGAGAGATCCAGGTTCAAGAACCGCTGAGGGCTTTGCTCATTTTTCACGGTTCCTGCCTCAAAAAAACCTAATGACTCTAGAAGTGGCGCCCAAACTAAAAGATGTTGGACGATAATTTGTTACCGTCAGTATTGGGTCACCTAATATCCAGTCTATCTTTAAACGGAGGAATATATAAGGTATTTTCTCCCTCCTTTCAGCATGGCTTCGTGGTTTAACCGGACGCATACTCGACGCGTATTCGTGAGGTCCAGGGTTCGACTCCTGGCGAGGGTACTGCACATTATTCACGTCTCCTTCTTAAATAAAACATCCTAATGACGCTATAAACTTTATATTTCATGCATTCCTTGTCTCTCTATGTTTGTAATTTCAAAGTAAATCCATGTGAAAAGAAAATCAGTCATTTTGAATAAGTTTCTAATTTCCTTTCGGTATTACCCATCAATATTAGCTTAACTTTATACTAGAATTACAATTTTAAATTGAAATCGAATAGAGACAATAAAAAATGGTTGTCAGTTGACATATGAGCCCGGTACATTTTTTTAAACTATTCATACGCTATAAGCTTAAAAATTGATTTTCTTAACCCAGAACGACGCTAAAACATGGATTAATTTAGATAAAAGAAACCATTAGTACACATAAATTAAATTCATGGAAAGATATTATTGCGGGGTACCGGTTAGTGGAAATCTCTTCGAATAACGCATGTAGATGAGCAGGAAGAAATTGGAAATTTATTGTAATTAACAGAAGTACAGCAAATAACTCAAGAAGAAGACAGCTATTAGACGAATCTTCCTTTAAAAAGAGAAAAATCACAGATTATTGCTCACTGGCTAAACTCTAAAACGTAATTCAGCCAACTCTTCGAATAGCACTTAGGACTAACTAGAAAAGTGATTGACTGCTGGTTGTCGGAGACGTGTTTTTATGGTGTTGCCCACCTTCTGGAAGCTTCAAGAAAAATCCTAAAGCTTCGAAAATGCGTTTTCCCAAAATTTCAAAAAGTCACCAAACTGAATAAAAATAGCTAAATTTCGCAAATAGTGACGAAAGTTTTTGGCAAAGCCAACCAGGAATTTTTTTATACACTAAGCAAGGTATAATCCATATCTATTTGAGCTATTTTCATAATTTAACCGTTTTGGGATCCTGAATCAAATATCTACAATTTTATACAAGAAATAAACACTCAAAAATACAATATGTCGCCAAAAGTTCAATTGCACAAAAATAGACCCTAAACTTGTTACCCTAAAATGCAGCAGAGGAAAACAGCAATTTTTTCCCAGCTTCAACTGAATTGCAGAATGTAGTTTAATCAGTCAGTCAGTCATACCGGTATCGCAGAGATATCGCGCGGAGCGCGACGTGTCCTGCTCAATGATAGAATTAGCCGTATGGGCACATGACGGTAAAAACAGGACGGGCCAAGGAGGCATCGGAGGTAGGTGAGAGGAGGTGACCATGCGTCACAAGGGGAGAAATACCAAGGAGAGGCTGGTGTCGCGCAATCTGACAAGTGTCTGTTCGTGACATATACATGTATAAAACAATACACAGAAAGTAAAAATAAAATAAAATTATTTACAGGGTACAAATACACAAATAAGGTACAAAATAAAATACAAATCCAATTAAAATAAATATTTACATATGTACAAAGTGTTCGTGCGCTATCATAATTAAGTAGGGAAATTTGCATTCCTCGTGATATGTGCAGCGTACGGTCTTATTTTGTAGTCCTCTTGCAGAGGTATATAATCAAACGTGTTGAATTGAGCAAGGTACGGGCAATTGACAGCTCTATCGAAGAAACTGCTGTTGGTGCGGTGAAGAAATTTGTCAACAGGCTCAATTTTTAGGTCTCTGTGAAGCGTGTCATTAGAGACAAAGTAGTGTGCGTTTGTCATTAAACGCAGGGCTTTGTTTTGGAGAATTTGCAATTTATTTATATCTCTATGTGTGGCCGCCGCCCACCCCGGGGACGCGTACTAGAAAATGGGACGGATAACCGCCGTATATAAATGTCTCTTTTTAGAGAGGTTTAACTTTGAGTTTTTGCCCATAATGGAAGAATTACTAGTAAGTGCAGCTATGGCCTTACTCCTGGCTTTAGTCACATGGGTCTTTCCAACTGAGGCCGGCATTTAAACGTTGACATTCAGATTTGTCACTACCAATACTGACATAGAATTTTCTGTCCTTAATAAAGGAATAGATTAAAAGTATGAGGTATCTATCCAAATCAGCAGATATGAGCTTAAAAATGAGCCCCTCATGCCAAACGCGGTCGAAGGCCTTCGCTACTTCCAGCATGAGTAAGGCAACACTTTGATTCTTGTGCAGAGCGTCACCTGTGAATTCCATAAGCCGAACAAGTTGTTTCGTAGTCGAGAGGCCTTTTCTGAACCCGAATTGTTCGGGTGGGAGTCTAGACATGAAGGGTTCAAGACGTTTGAGAATTACGCTCTCAAATATTTTCCCAAGTCCTGGGAGTAAGCTGATGGGACGCTATCCGTTCGGACGAGAGTAGCATCTTTTCCAGGCTTATTCAGCAGAATAACTTTGGCGATTTTCCACTTGTCAGGGAAATAATTATGCATTAAACAGGCATTCAGAATACTTGCATATTTAGAGATGATATTCAAAGGCAAGTACTTAATAGCAACGTTCGTGATCGAATCATATCCGGGGCTTTTCTATTTTTCAGCCGCTTAATGA